TTTAAAACTCATTTACAGGTGCTTGCGCAACACAGACCTCTGCCCTCTGTTTTGGTACTCACACCCCGAATCTTTGGATGTGTGGCTTTCGTTCATCTCCACAAAAATCAACGTAGCAAACTTGATCCATGTGCGCTTCGTTGTGTTTTTGTAGGTTATGCCATTCATCAGAAAGGCTACGGTTGTTATCACCCTCCTACCCGACGTACCTATGTCACTTTGGATGTGACCTTTCTGGAATCTAAGCTGTTCTTCCATGACCCATCATCTAATTCTACGTTTCAGGGGGAGATACGAAACGAAGAGCAGAATTGGAGCAACTTGGAAAACGAAGAAATTCTCCTATGTACAGAAATGATTGATCATCCCGAGTCTGAAGCACAAGATTATTCTCTGTCGAAAAGCGACCAATCGCCTATTTATAGCGATCAATTACCTGACCTACCTGATCCATACGAAGATATTTCTGATCCGAGTCTCACACCTACAGACAATACAGAACAACAAGATGAAGACCCCCCTCTAACTCAACAGTACCAACAAACCAATCTCCTAAGAATATCCTTGAGGTAACTACTCCTACTAGACTTGTGCATTTAGAGGATAAAACTATTGAATATCAATTACCTTTCAAGCAAAATCGTGGGAAGCCACCAAACCGCTATTCACCTGATATTGGTAAGACATCCAAGTATCCAATTGCAAATCATGTATCTACTGAGAAGCTGTCTGAACCACTCAAGGCTTTTGTGCATACGGTGGAGACTTGGAATATCAGAACACAAGTGCTTCAAAGTGGACTCTTTTTTTATACCTAAAAGTTCATGGGGAAAAATGTAGCATGGGAAGAACTTCCGAGGAAAAACACCGTATGATAACAAGTCCAACTCAAGCATTTGAACTCCCTTTTCCATTGCAAATTGAATCCATTTATCGAGGGAACTTGAAAACTTAGGATCAAGATCGAAACAAATCCTGAATGTTTCAACCATTGGGCCTCGATGATGTTCCACCACATTATTCACCCAATCAACGTACCTACAGATTAACAAGTCTCGTGCTCCTGCTCTGAGGTTAGACAATCTGCATAAAGTTTTCTCAGCATCAAAGTCGAGAGTCCTAGTAGATGCTAACACATGCCGCCACAGATGCTGCCATCGCCTAGAAAGGACACTGGTGGCTTGTGCTTCCTTTAGTGACAAGAGAGACAGTATACTAACAAGTACTTCATTTGGCAAACTACTAATTCTGTCCAAGCCCAAATTGTTGTTGCATTCATGCTTATTTTTCTTTCTATCTCTCAAGTTGTAACCCCCCTATGAAATGAACGGAACCACACAAAAAATAAAAAAGTCAATTAAGATTAAGGAGAGTAACCAGGTACTCTTCTCTCTTTGAAAATTCCCTTAAATTATGAAATCTATTTTACAAAAGAGACCCAATTAATAATCAAAACAATCAGAAAAACAAAAGCCAAGCCAACCGGAGGAAATGATGCACTCTTTGATAGAAATTAAGGAGAGAATTTAAACAAAAAGCTTCATTTTTGTACTAGTTAGATATATGGGAAGAAAAAAGATGCAAACTTCATAGTATTTTTACCTGTTCTTGGGCAAATTGAGAAGTTGGTCGACGCACCCTTTTCTTCATTGAATCTGACAGTGGTTTTTTCCTCTTTGAAATCTTAACCTGAAAAGGGTCTTCTAACTCATTGCTACAGCGGGCAAGCGAGTCAGAGAGTGGAAGACGAGTTAGTGATTTTGGGAAGAGGTAGGTATTGGATTTAGGTCTTACTGTACTGAGTCGTCTTCATCTCTCTCTCTCTCTCTCTTTCGCTCTCTCTCGATGCTATCAGCTCCGACACCCATTTTTCGGCTTTCAATTATAGCCAAGTCTTGTTGGACTTTCTCTATGCTTTGTCTGGTTTGGGGGGAGGGCCCTGTTGGGCCCTTTTGTTTCCTTTATTTTTTATTTTTTGACAATTCTTGTTTCCTTATATTAATTGTTGTTGAGCATAGTTTATTAAATTTAATTGGAAAGAAAATACAGATTTTTTTTTTGCCTTTAGGAAAGTAAAAAAAAAAAAACTTGGCTCTGGAGCTCCTCTTTACAATATGGTTTTGACAATTGTCAAATTTATTTAACTTTTTTTTTTTCTTGGAAAGTTTTTCAATTTTACTAGAATTTGACAAGACGATTGCTGATTTGGGACGTCAAAGACCCAATTTGTGGCCATATAAACACTGGATGGATCCCACCAATTCTTCCATTAATTTTTTGTGAAATAGACCTAACATGGGAGTAGAATTAATATGCTTCAAAGTTGCATCTTTTTATAAACGAAACACATTATCGTTTTTCTTCTTATGAGTTAATACGACATCAATTACTTTTTATCGAATTACATCTTTTTATAGGAGAAACACATTATCCTCTTTCGTCTTATATATGTTGGCGTGACTTGTGGATATTGACTTACTTTCCTTACACACCAAGGATTCCTATTTTATTTGTAATTGATTTACTTTAATTCCTGATTTCCTACTGTAAATAGATTTAGGAATTTATTATTTACTTGCCCATTCAGGTTTTGTTGTATTATAAATATGACCTCCTACAAGGAGAAGAATACACAGAACATTCCCACAAACAAATATTCTCTCATAGTTCTCATATTTTAGCAGTTACATCTTTGTAAACAAAAATATAAAAGATATGTTCAGTCAAATTTCATTCAGTACTAAGGAGTACCAGTATCTGTCAACAACACGTACCGTATTCATCCAGATTGATGAAAACAATTGTTTAAATAAAAATCTCCTTAAGTATCATTCCAGATTTGGATGTTTTTCTCATAGTTTCCTTCATCCTACTGTTTCATGGGAGCAATGTATATCTGGGAGGGAGGGATTTTGTAATCTGTGAATCCTTGCTGATGAATGTTCTTATTAAATTGATTCATTACAAATTGTCAGATCCTTGCTGAGGAATTAGTTTCTTCTTACCTGTTGGTTTGTGAATCATAGTCCATTTTATGATTTCATTGAAAGTACTGCACTATTACTTTAAGTCTTGTTTTTTTTATAACATTAGTAGCCCTCCTCCTGTATTACAATTTGGTACAAACTGTGCCAAAGAACTATATTTTCTATCCACGAGATGGATTCATGCCGCCCTACGAATTAATAACATAACTGAATTTGTGGCTTAAATGGAAAACAAGAAGCATCTGCATGCTTAAATTGGATATGAAACAATGTTTATCCAAGAAGAGAAGAAATTGTGATGTTATTTCAGTTATTTCTTTCTTCCCTTTGTTTATTTGTTTGTCCTTAGAGGTGTATATTGACTATTTTTTCAATTTATGCCATAAATATGTCTTGTAAGTCTAATGTTTGAATGTTACGATATTACAGATAAAGCTCCAGAGAGCAGCTGAGAATAATCCAAAACCAAACAACTGTGTTTTTCAGCATCCTTCTAGTTCACAGCTCCTTTTTGTACAAAGGGACAGCTGAAATAATGAGGAAGCAGAAAAGTCTGTTGTGGATAAGATGTTTTGTTACTGTCATATGTTTTGGCATTCCGCTGCGGTCACTTACAGGAAGACTTCTCCTGTCAACATTTTCCGCTCATTAGCTATGAAAGTAGAGGATGTTACAGAGTGAGTTTCATGGCTCATGTTTTTTCCCTCTGTTTTTAAATTAACCCAGGTGCTGGTTTTATTGCCAAGACTGTTCTAAAATAGTTTTTGAAGCACTGGGGCAATCATTGTGGCTGAGCCTTGTGGTTTTCCCCATCTTGAATTTGTAACTTCATCTTTTATCTTGAACTGTTTCCTCTTCCAAAACGAAGTTTATCTTGTAATCTTTATCTTAATTAGCTTAGAGCGATACACCCCTAATGTATTCTTTATATGTAGTTGTAGGTTGCTTCGTTAAATAGAAGTTGTGTAATAAAAAATTGCCTTCCACTTCTTGTTATTCTGGGTGGCTTTTAGATTTGGTTAAACTCGAGTGAATCAGGAGTTTCTGCTAGAGTTTTGCCAGCTTGTGGTGACTCTTTATTTTTCCGTTGTAATTAAACTATTCAAGCAGTTTTTAGCTCCAATCTTTAGGACAATTCTCCATGGGGAGAGTAGATATAGGAGGGAGATTAATGCCTGGAGAAATTATAGGGAGGTACTGGAATACCGCGTGGCAGTTGCCACGTACGTATCAAGGTATCTAGACACATGGTATTATACCTATTAAAAAGAAAACGAACAGGGCCTAGTATTTGAAAATCTACCTTACACGAGAGAGAGAGAGAGAGAGAGAGAGAGAGAGGGAGAGAGAGAGAGAGGCACTCATGTAATGGGGATATCACTTTTTATTATCTCCGATTAATAATATGTAGGATAATTTTTTTATGAGTCATTGTGTTATTGACCGGGATAGTAAAACAATGACATTCTCGTTACATGTAAGTTTTTAATTACACGAGATGATATTGCATTCCTGTAACTTATAGAAAATGAGAATGCAATTTGATACCAATTTCCAAACCCCGGATATTCCAACCATATATATGTCATATGCCTGTCAGTTTGAGTTCAGCACCACAATGACCAGCCTACTACAATCACTTTTGATAAAGTCCATCAACACTAAAACAAAAATAAAAGGAAGAACTTGAAACCATGATCACATAAAAAATTATTTACCAATCAAAAATCTTCCAACACAATAAGTTCACCATAAAAATCTTCCACCACTTTTTTTTAAACTGCCCCAACAGGTAGTAGGTAAATATTATATATTTTATTTTTCAAAAAGAAAGAAAAAGAAAAGATTATGGTGGGCCTTTCCACACCATAGTATCTCTCAATCTCAACCCTAATTCCTCATCTCATTTGAGATTTTTTTCATAAACAGAAAAGCTCCCTCTCTTTTCTCACTATGTTGACGACGACCAACAACCCATCTCACACGTTGACTCCTCTATTTCTTCACGGGCAGTGACTGCGTCTTCCTCTCATATACAGATTGATAAGCTCTCCTCTCTCTCAACAGTGACAAAGGCTTGACGCAAACTGAGTGCGGCATCTTCGATCTCATCTCAGCCCAGAGATAATGTCTTACTGCTGTATATTCGAATCTTGAACCCCATCTCATCACAGATTTGAGATTCACTGAAAACCACACCCGTCAGCAACAATTATTTTCCTTGGTTTTATGTTGTTCAGGTTTTTTGTTGAATATTTTTGGCATTTCAAGTTTACTTTATTATTAGTTGGATTTTCTCCACTTGGTATGCAATTTTATATTTAAATTCCATTTTTTGGCAGACCAGTTTGAAGTTCTAGAACTTGTTTCTTTATTGTGATTAATTTATCATTCATGTTATACGATTTATGCCCGGGAATAAATATTTTCATAATTTTTGAAATTTACATTGTTAATAATTTTTTATTTTTTTTATTTTTAAATATGAATGGCGCTCCTCAAGTTCATATTATATGTTGAAATTTCCATTCATATTTTTCATATCGTTAATAATAAGTTTGGTGGTGATTTTGGTGGCTTTTTTTATTTTAATAATGTACTTGTGTATGATATGGATAATGAGTGAATTTATTTGGGGTTGCTGCTTTTACTATGACATGCACAAAACAAATGCTTGCATGTAGGATTTTGTTTAGGACCATAAATAGTGTCACTGGCAAAAAGAAGAACGGAAATTGTGCTGTAGCTTGTGATCTAAATAATAACACAATTCATGCAATGCATACTAATATTTCTAATTCTGGTAGTCATAGAAAATAATTCAGCGATGCCATTTTTGTTAGAAATCAATTAAAGGCCAACTTTTGGCAGTTAATTACATTTCTCGTATTGCGATTAGTTTATTTATGTCTGTCAATTGCATTACTATTGTTTATACCCAAAATGGGCAGCCTATGAAAACCAGACACGTGGATGGAATTGACAGGACCCGGTAGGACCCGGGATTCTCATCCTCACCGAATTCGGGATGCAGTACTCCGCACGGTACTTGGCTATCTTGACAGGACCCGCCCCGAATTTCTCGGAATCCGAGACGAACCCTGCGGAGACCCCGGCATCACCCCCATGCCGGGTTCACTCCTTAAATCTATGTCCTCGTTTACCAGAGAGGATTAAGGGCACGAGACTTTCTGCCGAAATTTCGGCAGAGTCTCCCCTGTAAATTGAACATTTCCCTAAAATTTCCACCTGCATAAAACACATTTATAACCCAACCGGCAACACGCACAATATAATCTCATGCAATTTACATAAATGGCCTCCGGCCTTCAAAAGATTCTCGCAGAACTGCCCACCATGTTTTTAAAATAACTTAATGCATCAAACATGCATATACAAAATTCAAAATCTAGTTATGCACATCTTCACTCACTCATTCTACAGGACAAGCCTCAATTCAACCAAGTTTCAGGACCAACAACGAGGTCCAAACCAATCTCAATAAGACCACCTAAGTGGGGTCTAATCTGTGGCTGCACCTAGGAACATCAAGCT